ACCGAGGACAAGCTGATGGCATAAGATGTAAGTACAACTCCTCCGGTTTCATATGCAAAAAAAATTATTGCGCTAGCTTACGTGGTTGCAGAGCTACCGGGATTTAAAAATAGTTACGCAAAACGGAGCGTGCTGCTCTGACCGGTTTTAAAGGGTTAAGTTTATATTAACAAACAGCTGCAGCTGATGCCTGCAAGCTGCTGACCACAGCGTGTGATGGTATTTGTTGTAATATCTGGATAAAAGCTAGAAATGATCAAACCTTCAAAGGATTTTGAACTCTGACTTCCTGGTTTTACTTTCAGTGACACAAACTGAGAATCTGTCAGCTCATCGTGTCTCATAGTGAGAAAGTTCATTCATCACAGGTGAAGGAAACTAACCCACACTCTTACTTTTACGCTCACACTGAGCTTTGATTGGCTCACGATATCTCCACACAACACCGAGAAGAACGGCGAACCCACTCAGCACAGCAACAGCAACACCAACGACCCAGGGTATCCAGGGTATCCCGTTCTTTGGAGGGGTAGTTGGTTTTTGACCTGGAACAGACGAAAAGGAGACAACAAGTAGTTTTACTAAAATCAGTGATGTTTATTTCAATGATGAAATTCATGTGAAATATTAAATATTATAACTAAAAACATAATTAGGAAATCCAAGTACATCACAAAAAATAGACACTGTGAATTAAGAAAGGCGCTCGTCTCTGCCAGAGCAAGATAAAAATATAAAAACTGCCCATGTCTGCTGTAATAAATGCTGATGTATCCATACTGATATATGGAGACGAGCCCTCGCTGAAAACTCACCAGCGGTGCTGTGATCAGCTGACGTTTGTGTCGGTGTTGAAGAATAACTGGACGGTTCTGGGGAAACAGGAGGAGTTCATTTACAGCAAACTCAAATATCTCAGATCAAACAATGACCACAGCAGCTGAAACACTCGGCGAGCTGAGGTGTGACGGTGGTGGGAAATCACACTCTGAACAATAATGTGCACAAATGAATGTGTGAAACAGACGTTCAGTGTCAGAAAGAATCGACGTGACATCTGTTAAACAGCCTCATGAGCTCACGTGTGTAATTAAATTGATTTTGGCCATGTTTAAATTTTGCTGTGTGCATGATATAATATTATCACTCATGACAGTATTAAAGGAAAAGCTTATAAAGCTTATATGAAACTCCATTTCCCATCAGCCTCTGAGTGTCACAGAGTCACTGTCACATCTGATAATGAGTTAATGATGCTGATGCTTTTATTGTGAAGGATGCTGAAAGGGTTGTAAATGTGACATTTCTATAAGAAGAAGAAATAATGTGACGCTAACTAAAGTGAGTATGTCCACAGTGTGTTTGTGTTGCGTGACTATTTTACTACTGACCCACAACAGTCACGTTAAATTTCTTGATCAGCTCGGTCCCTTTGAAGAGCTGCCTCTCATAAAGTCCGCTGTCATTAGCAGTGAGGGACCGAATGATGAGTGAGCCGGTCTTTTCATCCAGCTGGTGCTTGTCTGTTGCATTTTTC